TGCAGCTAACATTATTTTTAGAAAATTATGTTAGAAAATTAATGTCCCTAACACATTCACCCCTGAAGACACATTTGAACTTTTCCAATTCAAATGTTGGTATAGTTCATTATGAAATTTCTGGGGTGAATGAGGAGAGGTAAGGTGGCTTGATACAGGTGCATTGTCTCATGTTATTAGCTGTAAAGCAATGATAGTACATTTGTGTGTGTTAAAGAGAGGTATATTTGCTTAATATTGTACTTACCAAATGTACATATGGTATTGTTTATAATTTCATTTGTTTTGTTTCCTTAAGAAATGTTTGAAGCAGGATGCTTTATTTTTCCCAAACTTTTCGGAGATTTTTACAATTGAGATGTAGATTGATACAAGAATGACATAATCCTGAAGGCAATCTTTGAAGCTTTGTTGACTGTACGCCAGGCAGTGTTAAGTATTTAAAATATTTTATATTTTGCTTGTTGTCGAGGAAAAACTTATATGTATCTTAACGATCTGATTTCTTTTTAGAATATGAAAACAAGCCTGCTTGGTTAATTATTCATATTTGAAGTAAAAATAAACAAGTGACTTTATAATATTTAATGCATGTTATACTCTAAATTTGATAAATATATATTTTATTGATGCTTTATATAATAGCCTAATTTAAATGTATATTTCTTTCCTTGTCTTAAGGGCCTAATCATACATGTATTTCCGTTTTGTTAGAATCCCACTGCCATTCTATCCATGCAAGTTACCGGTACATTAAAACATGTACATATATTGTTTGCTTTCCATGTTATTACAACGTTGTCAGTTTCGCTGTTCCATTTATTCTCAGAGGGTCAAAAGAAAAATTAGATGGAGACTTTAATCATGAATGCTAATTGTCAGAAAGATGAAAGGATGTATATTTGCAATGAACATGTAGATTTATACGAGTTTTCAAGGGTGCAGGTGAAATGGCTGTGGTGACCCGTGCATTTAAACAAATCTGCTTTCACAAATTATATGTGTACAGTGTATATATTTTCTAGGTACATATTATTTGGCAGTGTGTGATTTATGGAGAACTTTAAAAAGTTTTTCTTACAATGATATAATGATTGAAACATTCTATAAACAAAAAGGAAAGCAAATTTTGTAAAATCGAATCATCTCTGAAGGTGGTTATTTCAATGATGTTTGGATAGAAATTGAAAATCGATTTTAAATTTAAAGTACAAAGTAACAAATTGATATACCTGGTGAAACATGTTTTAATATCTTTTAAGATTAACTAGTACTTACTGTTGAGAAAATGGTATATTGTATTCTTCTAGAGAACTTCTCCCTGGCTATGTCGAACAGTTGATAAATGAGCCATCTAGAGAACTTCTCCCTGGCTATGTCAAACAGTTGATAAATGAGCCATCTAGAGAACTTCTCCCTGGCTATGTCGAACAGTTGACAAATGAGCCAGCTAGAGAACTTCTCCCTGGCTATGTCAAACAGTTGATAAATGAGCCAGCTAGAGAACTTCTCCCTGGCTATGTCGAACAGTTGATAAATAAGCCACCTAGCTAGAGAACTTCTCCCTGGCTATGTCAAACAGTTGATAAATGAGCCAGCTAGAGAACTTCCCCCTGGCTATGTCGAACAGTTGATAAATGAGCCAGCTAGAGAGCTTCTCCCTGGCTATGTCGAATAGTTGATAAATGAGCCATCTAGAGAACTTCTCCCTGGCTATGTCGAACCGCTGATAAATGAGCCAGCTAGCTAGAGAACTTCTCCCTGGCTTTGTCAAACAGTTGATAAATGAGCCAGCTAGAGAACTTCTCCCTGGCTATGTCGGTAGGAAGCGCCTAGTATTTTACCAGGGTGACATCTACAATTTATAAAGTGATCCCCATTGTCACTGTACTGTTTCCTCACAACTTTTGGTGTAGTTTAAATATGTTTGGTTTTATACATGTATATTGTGGGAACTTTTAAGTATCTATGGGTTTCAGGGAAATTCTATTTTGTTAATTAAGTACATGCTTGTACCATACCTGTTCAATCCTTCCTCTCGAGTAATCTGACACCTGTGCAATCTGTAATTTGTTTTTTTGTACGAAAACTACGAAATAAAATTTGTGTTTACCTATATACTGTTTAAATAATCTTACTTATAGGACCAATCTGTCACACAGGATCGCAGATTGACTCGGAAACAATATACAGGTACATCTGTAAATGCCTAATTTCAAAAATAAAATGAGCAGAATCATTTTGAAACTCTAATACTTTGCTTCTTCTTTTGGCGAAACAAATATTTTTGTTAAATATATATAAAACATCGACTATTAGAATATCTGGTGAAGATGGACGATAAACCTCAAACTTTCATGTCTGTATGGTGAGACTGTTTAAACTGGGGGATTATAGTGGGATTTTTTTACACTGAATGAGTGAATGCAATGAATACAAGAGGCCCATGGGCCTTAACGGTCACCTGAGTCTATAGTATTTATTTTTGTTGTTGAAATATGTACCAATTTGAGTAAAAAATAGTATAATGTTAACTTAACTTTGTCAGGACCATGAGCTGATCATTCCTAGACCAATTTTAAGTGAGATCGGCCTATTAGAACTTAGTAGCAAAATAGCGGCCATGGCAGCCAAATTGTATTTCTGATTGACCCGAAAAATAACAACACTTTGTCAGGACCATGATTCGATCATTCCTACAAAGTTTCAGTTCAATCGGCCAAGTAGATCTTTACTTTAAGTTTGAAATAGTTTACCAAAATGGCAGCTGTGGTGGCCATATTGGATTTCTGATCGACCTGAAAAATAACAACACTTTGTCAGGACCATGAGTCAATCATTCCTACAAAGTTTCAGTTCAATCGGCCTAGCAGAACTTGACTTTAAGTTTGAAATATGTTTTCAAAATGGTGGCCGTGGCGGCCATATTGGATTTATGATTGACCTGAAAAATAACAACACTTTGTCAGGACCATGAGTCGATCATTCCTACAAACTTTAAGTTCAATCGGTCCAGCAGAACTTGACTTTAAGTTTGAAATAGGTTTTCAAAATGGCGGCCGTGGTGGCCATATTGGATTTCTGATCGACCCAAAAAATAACAACACTTTGTCAGGACCATGAGGCGATCATTCCTACCAACTTTCAGTTCAATCGGTCCAGCAGAACTTGACTTTAAGTTTGAAATAGGTTTTCAAAATGGTGGCCGTGGCGGCCATATTGGATTTCTGATCGACCCGAAAAATAACAACACTTTGTCAGGACCATGAGGCGATCATTCCTATCAACTTTCAGTTCAATCGGCCCAGCAGAACTTGACTTTAAGTTTGAAATGTAAAATGTTAACGGACGACGGACGACGGACGACGGACGACGGACGACGTACGACGGACGACGGACGACGGACGACGACGGACGAAAACGGATAGCAATAGGTCACTTGAGCTAAAGCTCAGGTGACCTAAAAATGCCATAAAAGATAATCTTGTGTTGTTTGTTTGTTCTACAATAAGTACAAAGACTATCTGTAGTTTCAATCTTAGCCGACATTGTAGCTCCTGATGGTCACATATCTTGCATTCAGAGTTACGCACCAGGAAATACGTGAAGTCTGCTTATTAGTTATGATCATTGAGACTTGGCAACTAGAGAGACTGTGAACTCGCTCATAGAGTTAACCTCCGCTTGGGCATACAATGTTAATGAAGCAGAAATTAAAGTTCCAGGGGCTGTTCCATGCCATTCTACATGCACGTATCAATTTGATGTTCTTTAACTGCCAAGTTAAACAAAATTAAAGCAAACTTAAGGACTAGTTAAAAGTCGAACTCCAGGAAAAATATTCAAAACGCCAATTCCTTTATTCAAACTCATCTACATATGATGTACTTTCATTGAGTAAAGTAACAATATATCCAACACAGTTTAGGAGGTGTTTTGCTTTCAAGGATCATGGACGGACTGACGGATAGGCCGATTGCTGTATATCCCCCCCCNGTACCTAGGTATTCTGCATTATCATATACATGTATATGATGCAAAATAAAACCATTTTAAGGGAGATAACTCAGTGAGGGTATAGGCAGCATATCCAAATTCCCCACAGGGTTTATAGTCCTCAAATTCAAAGTTTCCAGGCAAGCATTTGTGGAATGGCAAAGTTTAGAGATACGTATATATAATGAACCTTTTTGGTTTACAGAGGTCCATCATTTGAGGCAGATCAGGGACCAATTAAATAGTAGATTGGGTAGATCACTGCTCTAACTAGGGTATAGTAAATAGTTTTCTCAACATGGATAGTTCAACAATTACTGAAATATTCTTCCTACAAGTAGTTTTAGAGTTCTCCATTTTTCTGGACCAAAAGATGCTTCATAAAGTAAATCCGGTGGAAATCTCTGTGTGTACAAGGTACATGGTTTAACTCGAGGTTTGCTGAATTTCCTCAGTGTAATTACTTGGGAATATGTCCCCATGGGCAGAGTCGGATCTCACAGCTCATCGTGGTAGCATGTTCATGTATATATTATAAGGGATCCCAACCGTTTCCAAGTCAATACCTCGGGTCTTATAAAAATGAGTTCACTACCAGTCCACAAAACCAATACAAATATCATGACTTCAGAACCATTTAAAATATAATGTTTATAGATTTTAACCCCTATAACCTTGAAAATAAAGTCTCTGATGTGAGGAAACTTCACAGCACTCCACCAAAGCTATCTTCTGGCAAAATATAGAGATCCTAGGCCTTACAGAAACTTGCTGAAGATTTAAAAAACGTTTTTACAATATAACCTGTGTTTTAACATTTGACCCCGACAACCTCAAATATTATCTTTGACTTAAAACAAAATAAATCAGAAAAAGATTTACATTAATGGTCTTCATACTTATCCAGCTATTATAGTCGGAAGTGGCCCTTGGCACTTCTACCAATATCTATTAATTTGGTTGACAGTCATCAAATCAAAAAGAAACTTCAGACTTCTGTATAAGTATGTTATGATTTATTAAATGACATTTTATTGTTTTACATCAGGTATCAACAGAAAAAGAAGAAATGTTTGACAGTGTAGTACATTTAGAATCATATGCAGCATGATGCTAGCTTCCTTTCCACACTCCTTTTAAACATTGGCACCAGATACTGGCTTCTGCGGTAAATGCAGAGATTTACATTCCTAACATGCCGAGTTGATATCCACCGCAATTTAATAACACGAGTAGATTAGGTACTAAATATATAATGAATTACAAACATCAAAGAAAATCTGTTGAACACATTCATACTGTAATGCACGTAAAATAAGTGACACTATAGATCGTTTATCACATACATACTGAACAGCTTACAAACAGTACCTGAAGCCAACATTTCACTAACCGTGATGGTCACTAATGAATAATCACTGAAAAGCTTCACAAACAATTGGAGCTTGTTTCTCTGGGTTTTCGTCATTTTAAATACCCAGTATATAAATTAAATTTTCAAACATTAATACTAAATATAAACGATATTGTATATGAAAAAAGTATGTTGATACATATCCAGCAGAAGACTTGTGTATTCAAATTTATTCAACAGACAAAATGCCTTACTGATCATACTGATCATTTGATTCAAACATCTAGATTATTAACTTGTGAATGTAACAATATTTAATAGCAATGAATGAATATTGTGATATAAAGTTAATTGGAGTAACAAAATATAACCAACAAAGCTTTAAAATTCTGTAACTTAAAATGACTTAGAATATACAACTTTAACAAGGAAAATATAGCTTGAATCATCATAGGAAAACAAAGATGTGGACAACTTTTTATTAACATGCAGTTCTTGGGCTGAATAAGTTAAAGCCACTGCCAAAATCAATGTAGATTCAAGGTGTCTATCTGACCGTTTTGTTAAACTATTATATCGAGAAAAAACAACAACTTTTCATTGTGACGTCATTAACTATAAGAACAAATTATGATTTACCATTGGTGATCATTAACTTAAATGCACAATAAATGTTTGCAGAGGTCTTAGGTGAAGGCTTTCTACAGACAAACAATTTTACTGGTTAAATAGTTACAGTTATGTCTATAGCCGGACGGTTCTTACTCACCTGGCTAAAAAAAATTGCATTAAATGTAAAAATTAGCAAAAATATTTGATAATTAAGCTGTAGCTTAAAAGCAGTTTTGTAAAACTGACCTTAACATTGTGCTTTTACCAGGTATATCTGCTGACTTGTGTCTGAGCTTTGTATTGAGATAGGTTTAATTGGAAATGCATATTTTCATGAAATTAGGAGGTTGAGAGAATATGTAATTTAAAAGCGAATAATTTCCAAGAGATAGATATTTGTAGACAGTCTCACTCCGATCTTTATCAACAATAATGATAGGAGTTATATATTAGGTATAAATTTATTGATTATGTAAATAAAAATTTTCTTCCAGTTAATTCTTCTTTTATTTGATAACGATAATATTATGCTACTACATTACATACAAACATCCTGATACACTACATCCATCTGTTGTCAGTCGAAATACACCAGATGGTTGTCCATCAATAAATAAACTTATTGCCAGTAGCATATACAGACCGACATACACTCCATACAAACATATCACAAAAGCTAGAAACGTCTGTCAGTGTCGTGTTTAATATGATTAAAAACTTTCACAAAATCCATGTCAGCTTGCGTCCTGTATCTGCACCAAGTACACCATGCACACTGTCACGTTCCACAACACTATACCATACCCTATTACACAGTATTGTGCTTCATTATTTTTCCTTGTTTAAGGCATTGATAAATTCTTCTAGTTTTTCTTGAATCGTTCTGACTTTCTCTGTAACAGAAGCAAATAAAGTAGAAATTATATTCCACAATTCTGGGCTTTCTTTTCAATTACAAAGAATTTCAAATACAGAATTGCAATGCATGTATGATTTTATTTTTCAATACAAGAATTTACTAGATATGGTTTCTCTAAGACAAAATATAAGTGACCTAGTGATGAAAACAGTTTGATGCAAACAGAACCGTGTAACCTGGCTAATCTGAAGGATTAAACTGGCCCCGGTGTTGTGATTTCATTACATGAGCAATAACATTACCGTAGCTTTGTAAGAATTTCTGTCAACATTTTCATTGTAATAACACGAAATAAAAGACCGACTATAAGTTTGAACACTGCATTCCCCCTTTGAAACTTACTTAGCTCCTCAGCCAGCTGGACACGACGACCGGTCAATAACTTGGACAGTACCTCCTTGTTGTCCCCATAGTCCTCGAGGACATCCTTTATGATCCTCTCAAGTCGCCGAGCTGTCAACATTACCAGATTAATGTTTAGGGACAGGATGATAGAGGGACACAATACAAACGTGAGGATGGGATGATACAAGCTAAAAACATACAAGCCTATAGACGTGTTTTCTTTAGAATTTGAAATTATATTGAATTTTGAACATTTAAACATCTTTTGAAAGACTTCGCTGGTTTTAAAATAATATGAAGACAAATTTAGTTGGAAGTGAACACTGAGATATATAGTAAGATAGTAATGTTTAGACAGTTGAGGAGAATACCTTCATTGTTCATGACCTGTTGTCGTAGAGCATTACTGGTGACCTGTAACATCCTCTGTAGTCTCCAGAACAGTACCACATCATTACATTCAAGCTGTAACCAAACACAGGTCATATTCTCACAAAACTGTGTGACCTTCTAGTCTCCCGAACAGTACCACATCATCACACTCAAGCTGTAACCCAACACACAGGTCATATTATGTAACATCCTCTGTAGTCTCCAGAACAGTACTACATCATTACAGTCCAGCTGAAACCAAACACACAGGGCATATTATCTCAAAACTGTGGGACATTCTAGTCTCCAGAACAGAACCACATCATTACAGTCTAGCTGTAACCAAACACACAGGCCATATTATCACAAAACTGTGGGACATTCTAGTCTCCAGAACAGCACCACATCATTACACTCCAGCTGTAACCAAACCCACAGGTCATATTATCACAAAACTGTGGGACATGCTAGTCTCCAGAACAGTCCCACATCATTACATTCAAGCTGTAACCAAACACGCAGGTCATATTATCACAAAACTGTGTGACGTTCTAGTCTCCAGAACAGCACCACATCATTACACTCAAGCTGTAACAAAAAACACACAGGTCATATTCTCACAAAACTGTGTGACCTTCTAGTCTCCCGAACAGTACCACATCATCACACTCAAGCTGTAACCAATCACACAGGTCATATTATCTCAAATCTGTGTGACATTCTAGTCCCCAGAACAGTTTCACAGAATTACACTCAAGCTGTAACAAAAAACACACAGGTCATATTATGTAACATCCTCTGTAGTCTCCAGAACAGTAACACATCATTACACTCAAGCTGTAACCAAACACACAGGTCATATTATCACAAAACTGTGTGACATTTCAGTTTGATAAACAAGGGAAATGTCAAACTTCCTTCCCTTGACATGCTCATACAAATACAGAGGTGTAATATCCTTTGGCTTAGCCTGTGTTCTGCACAGAAAGAGGCAATAGACTGTATTAGCTGTCCCGGCCACTTTTGTTTATTGCCTTCTAAATGGTACATACTCAAAATGGCGGTTTGTCCATTGGACCAAAGTTGCTAATTAAATTGAAACAGACATCTGAACCATGATTTTTTCTGTCATTATTTCAAAAAGACTTTCAAGGTTTGTTTTAAAGTTTACAAGTCTATCATAAATTATCCTAATTAGCATACAACATTTAAAAGTAGATAAACTGGTTCTTCCACACAAATGACCAACCCCTAGTGGCTTTAAACTAGACAGGTGTGATGTTCCTGTACATTCCTGGGTACCTTGTATCACACATTTCTACAACCTATCAATCTTCTGTTTAACATGAGATGCAAGAGCCTTTGACACCAGGAGCCTGTTTGTTTGTGTGGAACAAACGGTCCGTCTCTTTTTAAATGTAACATTTTCGGGTATATATTTTGGCGCACCTGCAAACTTTTTGCAGGCCGATCAAGATCCTAGATCCTACTTTATCTCACCCGTTTGGATCGCCATAAACGAAAGTGGCCTAGATCTCTGAACATGGCTTGTATTAAACTGAATATGTCATTCCACTGAACTATGTTCTCTCAACATGTCCCGTTTCCCATTGTGATGTAAATGTTAGTATTACACTCCACAAGCTCTGTACCACACAACAAGGGATGAGCTTACCCCTGAGTCTTGGAAGCCCTTCTGGTAGTAGTAGAATCCCTTGCGACAGTCCTGGGCTTGAGATAGAGCCTTCTTCAAAAAGGATCCCCTATACACGTGGTACCAGGTCTCCTTAATCTGTTAACATAGACACAAATAGTAAACACCTACACTGAAACATATATGTTTCATATGATCAAAGACAAGGCACACTGTTTATTGAGAAACTGTTACCCCCGGGTCCCCTTCAAGTATTTACCCTTGGACGGCTGGTAGGTTTAATGTCCTATGAAGAACTAAGGTCATTTAAGGACGTGCCTACATGTGTGTATGAGACAGATTATGTTTGTGTAATGGACTCCTTGTGATGAACCCATGTTTAACTATTGTAAAATTGACTTTAATATGTAATAACTATTTTGTTAAGCTGCATACTAATGATCAATGTCATGATAAATAAATTCTCATTTTGACTGTTTTGAAGTAAAACATGTTACAGGTTGTGTCTGATAACATATCTGTCAACAATGTCGTCATTTCTGATATTAAGACTCCTTTCAACCATATCATTGTTTGAAAGCAAGCTATCTATCACAGTGACTTTTAACAAGACACATGTAAACCCTGTCATCGTGTTTGACCAGTACACGGTAATGATAACACTACTAGGTACTTACAAATTCATTGTCCACCTCTACACCTTTTGTCTGAAGGTTTCGTCTCACCGTGGTCAGCTCATCTGGGCCTATCACAGGTTTATGAGTCTGTGATAAAAGAAAGAGATACTGTAAGCACACTTGTTTCCTTATCAATAGAAATTCATATTTTTTGAAGGAGAGTTGGAGTGTTAGTTTATGATTGTCCTAAGAGATCTGGGCCTGTAGTCACACACCATTCTTAGGCATAAGCATGAATTCTGTGCTCAAACCAACTTTCTTGTAGCTTGTGTAATCTTGCAACATTGTCAAAATATAAAGTCTAGACAATGAAAATGTTTTTTGGCTTCCAAGTCTCTCAAAAGTTTCTGAACAGCAAATCATTGAAAAAATGAGAAATTTTAATACCGGTAATTTATAACTTGGACAAGGAATTGGACATGAGCATAGAATCTGAGTTTTAGCATAAGAACATTTTCATGCACACAGCCCCTAATGTACCATTGTGAGCTAAAAAAAATATGTAAGTACATTAAGAGTTATGTATAAAGTAACTTCTCCCAAAAAAAGTGTCTTGTTCACATTTGAAAATTATGCAAATGTAAGATAATAAATTATTTTCAAATCTTTCCTTCCCTGGCTGATGACTTTTTCAACTTTTAATACCTTGTCAGAATAGAGAATGGTTGGTAATTTGCAGCCTACCTTGTCAGAATGGTTGGTAATACGAGAATGCAGCCTACCTTGTCAGAATGGTTGGTAATATGAGAATGCAGCGCTAGCCTACCTTGTCAGAATGGTTGGTAATATGAGAATGCAGTGCTAGCCTACCTTGTCAGAATAGTTGGTAATATGAGAATGCAGCGCTAGCCTACCTTGTCAGAATGGTTGGTAATATGAGAATGCAGCGCTAGCCTACTTTGTCAGAATGTTGGTAATATGAGAATGCAGTGCTAGCCTACCCTGTCAGAATGGTTGGTAATATGAGAATGCAGCGCTAGCCTACCTTGTCAGAATGTTGGAAATATGAGAATGCAGCGCTAGCCTACCTTGTCAGAATGTTGGTAATATGAGAATGCAGCGCTAGCCTACCTTGTCAGAATTGAGAATCTTCTGTAGCTCGTCCTTGGTAGCCACACGGTTTTTGTGATCAGAAGTGCGGTGTTTCCAATGGAGCCATTGCTCCCGTGCACCTGGACCGGTCATCTCCTTGAGTCGAGCCTCCGCTACAATAGGACCACAAAGTCATAAGATACTTGATTAAACCTACCAATTAATCTATAAGAAAAGTATAACAGGATCATATAGTAGAAATAGGTTATGATTGATTTGATTACAGATTAAAGGAAATTAATTGAGGTATAAAAGGAGAGTGACTTATTTTATAAAACCTTATTCTGTCTTTGCGTATTGCAGTGTTATCTTCTCTTGTGAGCAGGTATTGATTGTTACGTCATTAACTGGTTTGTGTGAGAAAATTGCATCGTTTTCTTAAAAATTGATGACGTTACTCTCACAAACCAATGACTGACAATCAATACCTGCTAACAAGAGAAGATAACTCTGCAATACGCAAAGACGGAATTGGAGTATATTGGGCCTGCTTTGTACAACACAGAACTTGCTATACATGTACTAATTATCAGTACCTTAAATCATATCAGGTCTAAAATAACAATACCAACTAGAACTGTCAGCCAAAGGCTCTAACCCTGTGTAAGAGGTGTACACTTCCACGTGCCCAAGACCTTGGGCTAGTAGCTTTTATGTGAGGACTAATGAAAACTTTCAAAATTTACAATGAAAATATAGGTCAGACTAGTAAAATTTTGCAAAATCTGGCTGTGGGCTTGTAAAAATAAATATGTAATGACCATTGCAATTTTTAGGTATACATAGTGCCATATGGGGATTTTTTTAATAGAATGACTTGGAGGAGATGAAATGGTATGGAAACTGTGGGGACTACTGGTTTGGTCAAGGTTAAGTCTATAATAGTTCTATTTCATTATGTTACAGCCGAAGATTTATTATGAGGGTATATGTGACAAATACTGCAAAAATAAACCTTTCGCAAAAGCTTTAGATTTCAATTGTGTGTGGCGGTCGTTTTACTCACTCTGATCCAGACGAGAGCGTATGGACTCCTCCATGAAGCGTATAGCGCTGTCCCACTGCTGTTTGTCCGACACAGATCGGTCCTCCAGAGTGTTAACCTGGATCACACGCTGTCAACCACAATACACAATGTCATAATGAGAAAACACTGACTCAACAACGAGACACTTGATCTATAGCAAATAAGGGTATAATCATTGACGCAATATCACAAAACTTCAGGTTAATCAATGTGTATCTGTTTATGTCAATTATCCAATCAGTTTTTGAATATCATGACAAATATTGATAAATCAAATGATAAATCGAGAGGCTTGTATCTATTGTCAACCTTCTTAATGTCAACCAATCAGTGTTTTAGAGGACTGTTTCTTCAGACCATCAGTCTTAATGCCAACTCATCAGTGTTTTAGAGGACTGTTTCTTCAGGCCATCAGTCTTAATGCCAACCCATCAGTGTTTTAGAGGACTGTTTCTTCAGATCATCAGTCTTAATTTCAACCAATCAGTGGTTTAGAGGACTGTTTCTTCAGACCATCAGTCTTAATGTCATCCAATCAGGGACTGAGAGGACTGAATATGTGGTCCACAGTCTTAATGCCACCCTATCAGTGTTTCAAAGAAGATTTAAGTACCCTCCGGTAGACTATCTACACACTTACCAGACTATCCTCTGCCTAGCTGTCCCACATGTGTTTAGACTTGCTCGTCTCCATGACTATCTACACACTTATCAGACTATCCTCTGCCTTGCTGTCCCACATGTGTTTTAGACTTGCTTGTCTCCATGACTATCTACACACTTATCAGACTATCCTCTGCCTTGCTGTCCCACATGTGTTTAGACTTGCTCGTCTCCATGACTATCTACACACTTACCAGACTATCCTCTGCCTTGCTGTCTCACATGTGTTTAGACTTGCTCGTCTCTATGACTATCTACACACTTACCAGACTATCCTCTGCCTTGCTGTCCCACATGTGTTTAGACTTGCTCGTCTCTATCACTGTCTGTTTCAGCTTATCAAACAGCTCTTCATGAGATTTGCTTTTCTTGTCCCGCTCCACGAACTTTAGGAACTCATCATGTAACGTGTCCCATCCCACCTGTAATGTCAAGAACATAGTCAGCACCTCTTAACAAAACTGGAACAAGAAAATAAACAGCAATTGACAAGGTTGACAAATTTAAATATGTATTGTGACAATGTAAAACAAGGCATTCCCCAAGGTCCCTGTCCCACTGCAATGTGGTTTGTACTATATACACTAACCTCCCCTTGACTTCTGTTCAGAACTGTAGAACAGTGTGGCCGGGACACTTCCATTGACCAGCTAGCTCAATCGGTTAGAGTGATAATTTACCAGTCTGAAGTTCAGGGTTCAAATCCAAGTCTAGCCCTGTGCTGTTATTTTTTTACCAAAACACTGTTGTTGATTATATTTTGTTTATTACTTATTTAGTATGGTTTTCTTTTTAGAAATAATTTATCAAAGCTATAATCATGCAGGAAGGAACAGTTCCTATTACTTAGTCACACTATTTGGTAGTAGTATTGGTAGTAGTACAGAGATCCTAAAGTGTTTTATGTTCTGAGCATGATTTGTCAATTCTGGCTTTATCAATTTCTCTTCTTACAAATGTTATCCTACAAATAGCCCTTTAGACAACAGCATGATATTTTGAAATAATCAGTTAGAGATAATAAGTCAGTATGGACTTGTTAGCTACGTACCTCTACACATTTACGTGGCAGCACAGCGTCCGCCCACTGTTTGAGACGGATGTCTACTGTTGTATTGAATGTGCTAGAAAATCAAAATTTGACACATTACAACAGATGGATATATAATGTATCATATATTTATGTCCTTGTAAGGTATCATAAACTACAAAGTTATATTGATAACTGATGATTTTGTACAGTTTTTGTCCAGACGGGTCCAACAATAATTTGTAAACTTGTGTCAAACAGACCTATAGTTATGTCTATATGTAGTAATTTTACTTGTACAACCTGACATCTTGTTAAATCTGTACACATATATCATATTGGGTTCAGATAGGTTTTCTGTAATATTGACATTCAGTCTTCACATTAACAACATTCTCATATTAATTGGAACGGGGGGGGGGGGGGGGGGGCCAAATTAATATGAGAATGATGTTAATGTTAAGACTGAATGCAAAAAAAAAGATAGAAAATGGCATGGACTCAATACTTCAAAGATAAATGAATTCTTGCAAGCTTGGAACCCAAGTTTTGAAAAGGTTTTCTCTAACACTGCTTTGATACCATCTCCCCAAAACTAAATACATGTACAAAATTCAAGATCAACCAAACAACCAACAAATAATTCTGACGATGACGCTATGTGTGTTGTGACAAGATGAACACGTACCCCGAGTTTTGTGACTGAGCAGCAGGAAGATAGATGTTCTCAAAGAAGTGTGTAGATGCCTTGTCCCACAGACGCTGGGTAAATGCATCCTCCCTGGGTGGAACATCAAACAGAAAATGTTTAAAATGCGAAAAAATATAGCGCATTTAGTACAGATATATTTTTTCACCATATCTACATCAAACAAAATTAATGTCAAACTTATTGCATTAATTAGCACTTCTTCACTAGAAAATTCTGTTAAAAATTATCTAAATGTAATAAGTCTTAATTGGATATGTCAAGACATTTTTTTCTTATTTTCAATCATTAAGACAAACCTGGATACCTTTCCTTGGGTCATGTTCATATAATTAACTTTGCTTTACCCTTGGTATAAGAGAAGTGTAAAATAGAGAATTTCTGTTGTCTTCAGGAGTGAACGTGAAATGTTTTGACCCCTACATACCATTCCTTGGGTGTGACCTGGCTGAGGTTGATGATTTCATCCAGGATCTCACCCCGCGCCTTGTCAAATAGTTCATCCTGTGAGTAACAAAAAAACATGAATCAAGAAAACATTGTAAACCAACTTTTTTTGTTAAAAATTTAAGAAACTTGAGTGGTGAATACCTCTGAAAATTTGTGTAATGTCAGATTATTTAGTAAAAGGGAACCATGAAACTAAAACTAGATATAGTGTGATACCTATAGGGCTTCATACAATATTTCAATCTCAAACTTGAAGCATAAGAACAAATATTCCAATAGAATTTTATCATAGGAAATAAGAAATCTCAATAAAGTTTGAGTAAGAAACCATACATTTGATTTCTGGACGGAGAAACGCATCATGATATGCATAAAAGAAAGACATTGTGATGTGTATTGTATCCTACTGTTAGTCGTCATTCCAGCATAATTAGGACTGCAGCTACATGTATGACACAAACATTTCTTATTTTTTTCAGACACATAGTTTTAAGGTAGCGAAGTCAACGTAATCATGTGCAGTGTAGGTGGTTCCAGTACCCCTAACTTGGATACCTAAAGGTGTACAGGGCAGTTGAGGACTAGGGGTAAGCTATATAATTCATAACACCGCAACAGGTCCTGATGAAGCCAACTGTTTAGGCAAAACCAGTAAACCAGCAATACATTGTAGAATCTTACCCAATCTTGTTGCGGTTGTATTAATTATATTGATTTTTCAGACACGTTTACATAATAACTTTAACTTCAATACCTTGTAAAATACATATATTATTCTCACACAAACATTACACTGTAAAGTTCAATGATATTCCAGTACACAGTTGACCAAACCTGGTCCTGTCATTATTTTCTGAATGTCTAGTTAACTTACCCGGTCAAGCTCCCTAACACGTGGGAATGTGTTTTTCCATTCTGTTTCAAGATTGAATCTTGTAGCTGGAATGTATAATAAAATATTATACATATTTCTCAACTATCAATTTATTTCAATGTTGTAGTAAATGTTCAAATGTCTCTAGTTACTTAAGCATAAAATATAAATATCAAAGTAATAGGTTGAAACAGAATATACTTCACAGTCTGAATATTACATCACGACATTTCCGACCTTTGAGCCACAAAATATCTGACCTTTCATCCATGACATTTCTGACCTTTGACCCACAACATGACTGACCTTTGAAGGCATCCGCCTGCTGCTCCACCGACTCCTTCACCATTTTCCAGAAGAGTTCGGACACAGCCATACTCATGTTCTGTGTGTTCATCTGTGTAGGTTTCAACACGCCCTCCCTGTCAAAACATCACACTTACACATAATCTCAAGTATCAGGCAACACCTCTTCTGTTAGAATCAAAATAACTGAGCATTGAATATCAATCTACATCATTATTATTGATTTCCTTGGAGGTATTTTCTTTGGAGGTATTGTCTTTTAATGTGAAAATCTTAATGGTTGTACAACAAGAGAGAGATAACAGAATTCTTGAAAAAGGAAAATAGTATACTGAAAATGTTAAAATAGCAGTAGGCAGCCTGGCAATGAAACAAGAGGCATTATATTGAGGTATCAATGTACTAGGCAATGGGGGAAGAAGTCCCTAAATCTTGTGTAGTGTACCTGACTACAGAAGAGAAAGAGCTGTATACATAGGATTGCATTTGAACCAACCAGTTTGTTGAAGAAAATTGACAATACAGATAGATCTTGACATCAAGATTGTATATGTCTTTAAAGAGTGTTGGCATTTATAACAGCAGCATTATACAGGAACTTACTTGAACAATCTGGAGTTTCTAAAGAAGTTCTCCTCATGGTCCTTGATTGTCTGTATACTGTCATTCTGGTTACCTGTAATGTGTAAAAGTCATCAGAATCAGAAATTGTATCCGGTAATGATACCAGACTTTGTCATTCTGGTTACCTGTAATGTGTAAAAGTCATCGGAATCAGAAATTGTATCCGGTAATGATACCAGACTTTGTCATTCTGGTTACCTGTAATGTGTAAAAGTCATCAGAATCAGAAATTGTATCCAGTAATGATACCAGACTTTGTCATTCTGGTTACCTGTAATGTGTAAAAGTCATCGGAATCAGAAATTGTATCCGGTAATGATACCAGACTTTGTCATTCTGGTTACCTGTAATGTGTAAAAGTCATCAGAATCAGAAATTGTATCCAGTAATGATACCAGACTTTGTCATTCTGGTTACCTGTAATGTGTAAAAGTCATCGGAATCAGAAATTGTATCCAGTAATGATACCAGACTTTGTCATTCTGGTTACCTGTAATGTGTAAAAGTCATCAGAATCAGAAATTGTATCCGGTAATGATACCAGACTTTGTCATTCTGGTTACCTGTAATGTGTAAAAGTCATCGGAATCAGAAATTGTATCCGGTAATGATACCAGACTTTGTCATTCTGGTTACCTGTAATGTGTAAAAGTCATCAGAATCAGAAATTGTATCCAGTAATGATACCAGACTTTGTCATTCTGGTTACCTGTAATGTGTAAAAGTCATCGGAATCAAAAATATATCCGGTAACGATACCAGACTTTGTCATTCTGGTTACCTGTAATGTGTAAAAGTCATCAGAATCAGAAATGGTATTCGGTAATGATACCAGACTTTGTCATTCTGGTTACCTGTAATGTGTAAAAGTCATCGGAATCAAAAATATATCTGGTAACGATACCAGATTTTTCTTGAGCTCAATTTGGTGTCTGGAATTTCTAAAATAAACATCAACAGGACGTTTACTCTGTTAAAACCCTTACAGATACAATATATAACGACAATTTAAGCTAATGTTAACGAATCATTAAATATATCTTTAACAGAAGAAAATTCAAAAGTTTTTTTTATTAAAGATATCTACCTCTTCCAGTCACCACTGCAAAGTACCCTAAAGCTTTCATTGGAAATAGCTGTCCTTCTAGAATGGATTTGATCTGAAATAAAATGTATTATTCCCTATAATTCAACAGTCTATGATTTGTTTAATGTATAAAAAATATATACATTTTTTCGATAGATTAATTACCAGTTAGTTAATGATTAAACCAATGTGTTATCTTTTAGTAGAATTGTGAATTCTAGTTTCCAAAACTCCATTTGCAAATACATAGATCTTCTAACATTCACTACATTTGTAACTACGATGTTGGATAAAGTCCATAAAATATAATACTGTAAACAGGGAATTGTTCGCCGCAGCTTAACTTTCGCCTTTTTTATCCTCCCCATTTAGTGTGAATTTTTCATGAGAGCTAATACTTTTACACAACATGCAATATATAGTGGTTATCTGTGAAGAGCTATATTAACCCTTGGCGCACTTGGATTTTATTGGCAAAGGGCGAATATTTGACTGAGCGAAAGCTCCCCAGTATAAACTATAGTGATCCAAATATTAACAGTTCTCGTGAAGGAATTAAATTTGAATTTCCTGTAACTCACACGATCAGGGTTGTACAGGTTACTTTCTGCCAAGTCAACCTTGGTCAGCACAAATATGGTTCTTCGCCCAGTAGGGTCCATCTGACTGACCAGATCAGTCACATTACTTCTCTCAGCATCTAATGAACCATCTACAACAAATGAAATAATACATCACATCTGACTATCAAACCAGACAGATAACATCACTAAAATCAGAGTCTGAATAATTACAGTGGAATCTGTATAAAGCGACCACCCAAGGAAAATTCAAATCTGGTCGTTAAATAAAAGTGGTCATTTAATATATAACTGAGCAACCGGTGACGTAAAGTTTGACCATATTTGTTTAACAGAATTACCTGGATGCATTTGTTCAAAAGGTGGTTAGCTTAATCACAGTTTAACGACATTTTTCAACCTTTGATAATTTCGTCAATATTCAAGGTAAAACATCACAATTTTGCATGTAAATTCACTTTACTAAACATTTGATATCTGGAAAGTTGTAACTAATTCAATGGTTGTGTTTTTAAGTTACTCAAAAATTAAAATTTGCATTAATCACTATTTAAGCTCATCACTTTTTGAACAACTGGGCCCAGATCGACTAATCGAGCGGCTCCTGAAACGGACCAACAACCCCAACCCCAACTGCACTTTTACACATGCATATCTAGGTAGTTTAAAACAACATCGTTCAATAGATCAGGTGAATAACTAAACAATAGTTAAATGATAATTATGACAGCAAATAATGAGTTGAGAGTGTTTGGGAAGAATTTGGTACCTCCTGCGGTGGTCCAACAGGTTGGTTTACATGTGTTTTTCGTTTATTTTATGATGGAAACTATATCCAGTTAAAATTTGACCTAGATAAAGCAAACAGCTTTGATGGACTTTCGATTGAGACGTCAGGATGTAGCGCCGTCAGCCAACTTTGACGTCATTATAAGAAAGGTCAATGAGTGCACGTGTCCCACATGGTTGTTCCTTATGAGACGACTACAGCTGTGTGGTGCCTACCTTGAATACAAAGGACTATAGAATTGGGGTTTTCCATGTAACTTCTGACTAGGCGTTTGATGGACTCCTTTGTATCAGGTGCCATCTTTGTAGTAACAGTCTGCAAGGGGAAACACATGTAAATAACGGTAATACTTCTATTGATATAAAGCGCAGAGCATGATAAAGTAACAAGTTCCATCAATAGCATCTAAATTGTATGGAGTAACTTTATTTCTGTTTGAAAATTTTACCTTTTCATATTCTATAGTATTTTTGGCATGGATACCATTTTCAAGTCTAAAAATAGCGTGGGCGGGTCTTGCAGTGGATAGCCTTTCACCAAGGCGATCTGGGTTCATGTCCTTAATAGGGCATGAATAGGTATGGGTTCACCTGCCCACCTATATGTGTTTTTCTGTGGGTGTTCAGGTTTTCTCCCACAAAGAGGGACTAATATAAGTTGAAATCACTTATTTCATAATTGTTGTAAAATCATTAAAGTTTCTATCTATATTTAAGAAACGAGAACTTTTTCAGAAGTGATAGTTATATAAAGGGAGACTTTCAACTCTGAATATCTAAAAAGTGGTTTGTATTATGTAGTGTTTCCACTACTCAAAGAATATGTGTACATTCTACTAGTACTGCTTTGTATAGTATGGTGCATAGATAATAACACACTTACAGAAATAATACCCGGCAGATCCACAAGTACCATCCTCGGGAGACCAGGTCCCTTCACTGTCATAGCAATACACTACAAAACAAACAATTTAATGTATTATACACTGTAACCCATTCCATTACTGTGAGTCACAGATTATGTGTTGCCCTCCTCGGCTTATTACAAGATACAGTAAATATTAATCCAACACAGCCCTAAGATACTCACTTCTGGACTGACTGTCTGTCCCTCTTGTACGCTCGCTTTCATTCTCAGCTCCACTTCCTTCCTGAGGGCCGCCAGCTGTGTATAAGTTTGAGTAGACAGTCAGATATGTCACATATAAATCTGTTACGTTTATAAAACTCTGTCAATGTTATCACGGATGATACCACACATTATAAATTGATAATATAATATTGAGATTGTTTTCAAATTATATTTCAATTTCCCTTTATAGATGTGATTATATTTAATATCTACTTATTTGCTTTGTTGAAATGTATATTCATTTATATTTTAACAATAGAAAATTGCTCAACAAAATGAATGCAATCAATACTGAAAATGCATTTATTTATTACCAAAAACTTAAACTTCCTTAAAATATTAAATAAATTTCATATTCCTTTTATGTCAAATACAAAATTGAAATTTTACTTTCAAGGCATATAATATTCAATGTCCAAAACTCTAAACTTAATATGGAATGGTTATGGATACTTGTATTCCACATTTGGATATTTTCTTGAAGCTCTATCCATACCTCAGACTCTTTCGAGAGGTCAAACTCCCTGGTGCTGTCCTTGAACTGTGCTATATGGTAGGGACCTTCACTAAGTGTGACCTTTACTGGTGACCTTGTCATCATTTCTCCTGAACCCCTGTTGACCAAACATCACAGCATCAGCTATCATATTGTATTTTATTACAATGTACTATAGTCCTGATTATCCAATACTCGTTGGGGGGAGGTCCTTAGTATATGAGCATATATATATATACACAAGTGATATTTTTGCCTGTGTGTTCTTGGGTGTATTACACAACGTTACAAGAGAACTGTATCAACAAATGAAGTAGATTCAAACCATTTTTTTTCTAGATCTAGCAATTTTATGATAATGAATTTTCTTGGTTTTTTTTCAAGATCCAACTATTTTGAGATATTGAAGGACTCTAAAAAAATTATAACAACTTAAAATTGCAAGTTTTTCCTAGATACAAACCTTGGAAATATCCTGGCTCTGGCAATCATCTCCAGAACACTGGTCTTACCAGAACTCTGGTCACCCACGACGACCACCTACAAACACACACACAGACAGTGCCGATGTTATATACATTAATCTGTGGAAATTTTTATACGCCACACTATCAAAATCTATGTTGTAAAGAATTTATTTTTCTACATAGGCTTTCTTCAATTATAGATCATAACCTTGTAAACATTGCTGTTGATCATTCATGGTCACAAAGGTACATCACCTTTGTATATTTTATATAAAGGGGATAGAGAACATAGAGTCAAACTTTCATAAGCAGGCTATCCTTCAATAATTGTTTAGCATTTTTACTCAGCCTTGCATTATATGAGTAATATATACTTGCAGTGAAACATGTTTATGACAAACACGTTCAAATAGGACTGTTGAAACCCCTGGTAACATTTCTAACATTTATTACAACATGATAAACATGGTTCTCTTTTTTTTGGAGACCAAAATGCTGACTTTTCCATGGTTTACCCTTACTTTTATATACGTAATATATATTTCATATCTTGTCCCCAAATTTAAAATTGATTCCTGGCTAATGACTTGCGTTTCTTGATATTTGTGAAGACAAGTATATTTCCAATTTGTCTTCGCCCTATTAGCTTGTTACATTAGTTCACCGTCTCTGTTTGTAATACGGGAGTACATTTTTATTTCTGTATTTTACCAGACTGAGTGTACACTATATGTCACATACCCTGGGAAGGTTATCCTGTGTGTTATAGCTCGAATCATACACAGCCAGCTCATCCAGTACCTCAGAATACATATCTATCAGGGATTTCTGTAAAGCAAACATTGTCATTTTATTTATTGCTCATTGTGGCTCAGCTCATTTATCACTAGCACAAATAAAAGTTCCAAATATCAGTTATCTTGCAAAAGAAAATGCAACTAGTATTTTTTAAGTGCTAATCATATTAAGTTATATACTACATGTAGTATTAATTAAAGTACAGTTGTTGAAATTATTATTCCATACTGTACATATAAGTCATAACTAATAACCCCTGAATCTGAGGGGGGCAATTCTGTGGGGTGTATGTGTGTGTGCGTGTGTGATAACGTGTGACAATTTTGCCACATCCAATTTAATAGGTTTGTTTCATTCTTGGCCTGATGATCTATGCACATATCTGATTAAGAATTCCACATGTATAGAGTTGTGAGCTAAACTTCCAAAATAATTTACATAAAAATAAATTTCTTAAGAATTTCAAGTAAATCTGTTACAATTACCATGTACACAGATATAAAATAATTACAAACCTTCATCACTCGCTTTCGTCCTCCCTTGCTTTCCTTCAGCAGCAGATTTTTCTTCAGGTCTTTGTTTTCTTTTTCTAATCTGTCTATTTCTTTCTGGTAGCGAATCTGCATATAAAATGAAAAATATTACAAAATTTAAGAATCTGATTTAATAGCTTACCATAACATTACAGCGTTCATTTATTATAGAGACAACTTGTATTGTATGTAACTGGTTCAAAGTATGAGTTATTAACCTTCAATTTTCGGTATATTTTTGTATACTATATAGAAGGAAGCATTCCCTCTTTGTATAATATGCCACCCATGAAGCATTAAAACTTTATATATGATCGATTCTATTAAACAAATTGAGCGAGGTATTTTCAATTTTCCAATTAAACCGTCCTGAAACAACACCTACCTGTATCTGGATCATCTCATCTCGAGTTTCCTCCAGTCTCTTCTGCTGGTCTTTAGTCTGGAAAAAATCATGTTATATGAGATGGTCGAAAGCAGTATACAGCCATAGGTATCATTTAGGTCTGCGGTAAATCAAAATGGCTACAATATCTGCAGGTACAGGGATATGATGCGTATGGGTTTTGTATTACAGGGGAAGGTTGATATTGTTCTTTCCTTGCCATCTTTTGCTTTTTCAAAGCTCTCCAACCCTGGCAGCCCGTTATCAAAATATTTATACATTTTATGTATATTGGCTGGGGAAATAAAAATGTTTGGAAAAAAATAGGGCACACAAAAAATAGAAATACAGCTGGTATAGGAATTATATCAGAAGTAACAATACCTGGTGATATTTGAGCTTCTATAACCATGCAAATCTTTCATAAGAATATGACTGTGCTTTAATATGATAACTTAACCACCAAAACCATATTGCAGTATTTCTACCACTGTCCACACAGACACACATTGGATGTACCTGTTTGCTGCTTTCTGTCCTTTCAGCCTTATCACTCATCCCAAGCAGGGGTAGCACCCCCTTCTTAGTTGACGAGTCTGTAATAAACAGGTCATTGTTAGCTCAAACCAACCTCTCACAGAAATAATATCTATTACTGGATTTGGAAAACAGGATCGCTGGCAGAAAAGCATGTGAACCAACAACTGAAGAAAATGCCCGTGCTACTTTACTTATTTACCCCAAAATTTCATTCCAACTTTGACTATGAACATTCACTAAAAAAAAAATCTATTGTAAAAAAGTAATTATAAAAGAATGATTTAAATAACGCTGGTCAGTGGTTTACGGAAATTGGATCATAATCCTAGAAAATGATACAACAGATGCAGTAATTTGAGTGTAGAAATCTTTCTTTATTCTTATTTGTAAACTTGACCAGCTGCTGGTGTTGCTGGTGTTGTTGGAGTATCGGAACACACCAAGTACATATACATGTACCAACAAACACAGCAGGTGATCATGCACCAGTTATCAGCCCACATGCTAGTATTATTGCAAAAATATGAGCATAACATCCTATATGTAATATCATGCAGAGAAACTGTGAAGACTAGTGCAATATCATTTATCAGATTACCTGGATATGAAATACTGACTAGAAGTCAATGAAATATTATTAGTAAACTGGTATGGTAATTGGTATTAAGTGATAAATCCTTAATTGTACTCAGTTCTAGAAACACCCTAGACCTACTGAAATATTTTTCCTTGCAAGTTATATCTCTAATTGCAAACAAAATCGATGTGAACTTATATTAAATTTTCTGGGTGTGAGAGATAATTTCTATTAAAGTATTAAGTATATATTGATATATAGCATTTTGAAGGACACTGAAGACGACGATCATAACATGTGACAGAGAATTTCTACTGAAGTTTATAGAACAAAGATGGATATGCAATTGTTTCCTTTCTGCTGAAGTCACCAGTAAAAGCTAACTGAGCTACAAGTGTCGTCGCACTGGGCGTCGACAACAAAGAGATATTTCCACATCTAATGTCATGCCATCTGCCAAGTGTGCAGTGTCAGTATACGTAACTCAGGTTCATCTAGGGTTATAACAGAGTTATGGCCCTTGGCTGTAAACTGGGATTACATGTACACATGACTAAGGAATTTTAATGTACAACAAATTCAACTTGTTAACATGAAACCACATGTATCACTGCATTAAATATCAACAAGGTCAATATCCAAAACAAAATGCTAGACCCTTTATTATCACAGACCAATGCAAAAATATTTTTGGTGAAGTTAGTTTCAAAAATTGACACTGGTCAAAAGGTTTTGTGATCATATTATTTTTGAATGATAATGTGTTTACCTGGTAAATAAGTATGGGAGGACAAAGTTAAAACACATAGTCTACACACCTGGCATCGGCGATCCCATTAGGTGGAAAACACCTGTTTGCATTTGTGGTACACCTGACAAAGGACAAAAGGACATCATCACACCAAGTGGATATGTATACGTATAGCTCCATATGTACAGCAGAACATAGCCACACAGTAACCTCATTACATCCGACAGCCAGAGTCACTGATGGTGAATGATTCATACAGTTTAACATATTTGTAGAAGGGATTGTTTTATGACTCAATTACGCTTTATATACCGGTAGATATCAATCATTCTTAAGTTTCAAAGTGAACATTTCTAAATAAAATACAAATCATTTCTCATAATTTTGATAGAAGTTGAAAATATTTGTATTAAGTCAAGGTTAAACTAACTACTGTATGGGATTTTCCAGAATTCCGGAATCTATTTAAAGTCATTTTTGAAGTTATTATGTATAGAACTTGGTGGTTTGGCCAGGAATATGAATACACCCACTGAATCATAAGCAGCCCTGAGTGTCATCAGTAAGTGAAATGACAAGACCAAACAGAACTGAAGATCAACCAACCAAAATAGAGAAAGCAAGATTTGATGCAGACACAATGAAGTACAAAAACCCCAATTGTGATGTGATGACCACATGACATTGTATGTTATACAAATAAAAATAAAATATGAAAATACAAAGAATGAACATTCCTTCCATTTGAAAATAGGGTATTCTAGATAAATATTGAAAATCATTAAAAATACAAAGTTACAAAAAATGAATACAATATTGATATGTGTGTATGCTTTTAAACAAACCTTGGTCGACCACGGCTTCTACAAGTTAATTTAGTAAACTTACCATTTGTAGGTATATGTAATAATGTTAATACGGTAAGTGTTGTAATCAAGCACACACATGTCTGAAGCTGATACAGAGTTAGTGTAGCTATATAAAACACAGTGTGTCACATACAAGTCCATACAATATTTAAGACTTACAGTATATATATAAAGTTATTAAAGTACTAAAAAAAAGGAATTTCTTAATTAATCTCACTTGTAACAAGAGATTCGGAGGGCCCATATTGCTCACCCGGATGGTTTAGCAAATTTTTCATTGAATGCATTTATTTGTTGTCATGTGATGTCCCTGTGAACCTGTATGAACTGTATACTCATGTATCATAGTGTGGTGTTAACTCTGACCTCAGACATTCACGCTTCATCTGACAGATGTTTTACAGTTCAAACCAAAATAGTAGAAAAGGAAACTTTTTACACATTTCTATTGCAAAATTGTACTGCAACATTTTTTCATTGAATGGATTTATTAGCAATTCATCATGATCATTATTCAATCATTGATTGATCCAAGTGATTTCTAATACTATTTAATATATCCAAGATGAACTTTTAATACATGAGTAACCCAACTGGGTTGTAGTGTAATTATACGTATATATTGTCATGTGTTGTCCCCATGTGTACCTGTATGAACTGTATAGTCATGTATCGTATTGTGGTGTTAACTCTGACCTCAGACATTCACGCTTCATCTGACAGATGAAGTGCTGACAAGTGACATTCGACGAGCGGCACGCATTTCTCCCCTACTTTCACTGCCCCTGCTCACTAAGCTTTCTTGGTAAACCTCTTTTCTCCTACCGATCATTCAACAACTGTTACTCGTGAGGGTCAGTTGTCTAAGCATACTACTTATAACTACAAAGCGCAGGTTGGAGCAAAAACCAAGCACATGCAGGTCATAATTATGCCTTCAGGAAGGATCTCAAAGTCCGTCATTCCCCAATACTACAATACTATAGCTATAGAAGAACCTGGAGGCCTAATAAGCATAGTGTCGGTGTGAATGGGAATGTCTGTGTGACCGAGGGTGTGTTTGATTTGGTATGAGTTCCTGTGCGTGTATAGTGTCCTAGTGTATAGTCTGTTTCACTAATGTGCTGTCTTTGTGTTTCAGGTCTTTGCAATACATCTAATAAATAAGTTTTGAGGAAGACCAACCGAGTTAATTTGTATTTGATTCCGTAATTAGACGGGAACCCCCGTTTGGCACATTTATATACGTACCCTCAGAGAGAATAGATGATAGATCCATATTAGACTTCTTGTTGAGCATTTCTTCTTGCTTCCTCTTAAAACTTTCAACTTTGTTTTTCATCCATCCCTAACAGAGAAGAGGGGGAATAATATATCTACATTGCATAAAACACTCTTAATTTTATACATGTATATCCTTTTTTTCAAATGAAAATTTATGTTACAGGACTTGTGATAAAAAGCATCTGTAACCATTCAAACATTTATGATAAGTGTAGAAAATCTTAATCCGTATCATAAATGAGACCAGTTTTACCTTTTCTGGAAGAGACAAGGATTTTCTTGCCTCTTTTATGGATTGCATAAACTTGTCCATCTGTTCTGAATCAGGTAAATACTCTTTTGTCCATGAGACATCAGGAAACATTCCTTTAAATGTATCCATTTTCTGAAATACAGCAAAGAAATATTCCTTCATTAATTTTGCTTTTGTTTTATGCAATAAAAGTCCAAAATCTTTGACTTGTCAATTGTTTTCCTTGTAATATCCTGATGAAGCGAAAGAAATTGTCAATGCTTCCTAAACTAGTTGAGTGCATTTAGTGAGTTAAATACAAAACTAATATACTATAAACAAAGAAACATTCAATGAAAAACTTTATTTTTGAAAACAACTAACATTCAATCAAAAACTCATTTATGGTAGTAAAAATTCTTCATCGCAGAAGTTTTAAGCTTTGATTTACCTGTGTAGCCCAGGCACCTCCTCCTACGGCACCAACCAGCATAAGATATCGAATCTTGAGGAATCGCCCCACACCAGTCAAGACTCGAACCACAGTTCCAGCACTGCGAGTATTTGCCCCTGCTCCGACCTGAGCTAGCCATGATTTGGGGATCAGAAAGTTGACACTCCCCGAACGTGGAATTCTTGTGTGTAATTGTTTTATTGTTAGCCCAGTCAATGGGTACCTAGAAATGTTTAAAATTTGTGGTTGAAGTAGCATTCCTGGCTGTTGCTGCTGTGAGTAATGGCCGCCTGTGTAATACCGTGGTATAACTGCCAAGCTTCGCTGAGCATTAGTGATACTACCATCATGTATTGCCTTCTCTCCTGCTTTCCTCAGGCATACTTGACACAATGGACTAAAAAAGAAATTTGAAAAAGAAAAATATTTAAAAAGGGAAAGTTCATACCAGTTATCTAAGATACAAGTCTTCAGAAAAAAAAGTCACATACTTGGTAGTCATATGGTAAATAAAGACAGTGGGGACATGTTTATGTATGCTTCTGGTGTAAATGTAAATCATAGCTAAACATATATTGCTGTGCCTAGATCTGGTGAGGTTGGTGGGCATGTGTTGGAATTAACATTGCATGTGCACCCACTGATTTAGAGTTAGTTTTAATTTGGTGAAGATTCAAAAGAAAGATATCAAAAAAAGAAAAGAAACTGGTATGTTAATATACTAAATTCTTTTTTAAAATCCTGATTTATTTTATCTTTTCTCAATTGTGGAGCATTCAATGACATTTATGAAAACTAAACATTTTCCTGAAAATATAACACTATTTCTATGATGTGTATAAGCCCACCAGTTTCATTTTTTTTATGATTTCAAAGATATTAGTTTACTAATCATAAGACTTAATTGTATAGCCAAATCTGGATGAAAAATGACGGACTTTGAGATCCTTCCTGATGGCATAAATATGACCTACATGTACTTGTTTTTTATTGTCAGACCATCCAAAAACTTCACACCAGTGTTTTAGCATACTGTTGTGACTGTTGATCAAAAGTAAACAAACACATGACCCCTTAATTATATAAACCATCATGTGATATCTGCATCTAAAACTCATCTGAATCTGGAGATTATACATTAAACAACATATACTGGGCTTTTAGTGTTTGTACTGTTTTATGGCCTGTCAACAATTTGAGTCATTTAGGCTTTATTTCACAATATTGACAGTGAGAAATACCAAACTGAAACAACTGTGGGATTACATTAAAAATTATAAAAACTGTTATATTATGTAACTTAAAGTTATTCACTACTGGACTTATGTGCAGGTCTCTTCAATTTTTGTCTTTTGACTTTTCACAATTCTTAATTCCTTACATAATTATACCTTTATTACTGAGTCATTCAAAATGAAAATGAAGTAATCTTTACTTAAATTGCATACAACAATTGTTTTGTATTTAAAACATCTACAATAATCCTAACATCTGGAAATAACATTCTTTGCCTGTTATTATGGTCAATGTTTAAGCTTAATTTTGTGTCTATTTACTTGTTAGTCATGGGTTGACAATTTTTTAAATGCATTTTTTTTATTTGATCTATGTTTACTTTAGGGTGATAAACATTAGTTTGAAAAGTTGTTTCATAATAGTTGTTAAATAAATAAATTAAAGTTGCATGATTTCATTTTATTTGTATTTTTTTGGGACAACTCAAGACAACTCCTTCTAAAATGAATTGTGAGAAGAATTACGAAAAGGTCACAACTGAAAACCAAAATACATTAATACATATAGTGTCTTTGGTGTCATGACATTCTGTCAAAGGATTTCATCATAAATTAAAAGTGACTTTGGCTCTGAATCAACCCTTCGAATGGTTGGCATCATTCAAATTCCTAATTACTGAATGTTTCTTTATCGTACATCCTAAGGTTTTACAAAACGACCTGGTTATAGATCGAGTTTTATGGTTTGTTTTTATAATAATTTACAGACTGATATGTCATGGCGTCTGCTAAAAGTAAAATGTAAGTAGTAAATGATGGGGCCAACGAATGTTATCAAACAAATTAGTAAAAAACATGTTAAACGCGAAATGAAAAAATACAGGTCGTGAAAAGTTTTTGGACACATCAACTATGAAGTCCAACAGCATTTATGCTAAATTTAAAGTGATGAACTGCAAGAACCGGGAAATGGAGGAGGGGGGTACCCTATGGTCATAGCTTCATACGGTACCCGAAGTGTCCGTTGAGTACCAATCTCGCCTTCAACATCTTAGTTCTTGTTGTTTTAAACCTCAAGAAAACGGTAACGGCTTTTCGTTTTCTCCATTGTCTCTAGTTCAATATTTTATCCACATGGTATTTTTCAGGTTTCGCTTCTTTCCTGTCGAAAATGACCTTCACACGTAAAGTCGAGAATTGTGTTATCTGTTTATTTTCGTAAAAAATAATTGTTTCAATTATGAACAGATCGAAACAAATGTAGACAATTAAAGTGAAATTTGATTAAATGTTACCATTTTAAAATACTTATCTTGATGACGTTTGAGTATTTACTGCACAAAATACAAAATTTACATATTATTTTTTGCGGAAGTGAAAAGCCGCGGGGACATAACTCTAATCTATCAAAAGCAAGCTGTTGATGCTGAGTGATGCTGATCCAGTAACAGAAAAACTAAATAAACCATGGGAGACGAAGACGAAAAGGGATACAGATGGGAAACCGAATATGAAAAGACTTGGTAATACGCTATAACAGCTTTCTCATTATTATGATAGGGTGCATGTAAGATGTCAAAGTACATGTAGATCTAAAATTCATGCATGTTCAACTCCACATTTATTTTACTTTATTCCCTATTCAGTAATAAAATCGCTACTGTAACAACAGTAATTGTTACCTTAATGAAGAATTATGATACATATGAGGGATTGTACCAAACCTGATAAATAAAACAGTAGGGTGCATCTTTGTACAAACATTGATTAATATTCTGATGTTTTACTAATTTTTGGACAAATGACAAATGATATCACCTCCATTGCCTATATTTACCTGTCACTAACACTTGTTGATGCTGCAAGGATTTTTGTTTTGTGTAAATTTCAAATATTCATCTGGGACAAATGACACAATTTTAATATATATATAACAAAAAATCTCTCATCGTCAGATATTTGGCTGTCGTTTTCGCAGCTAATATATGACAAACCAACTTGAAGTCAAGAAGGCTAATTACAGAAAAAAAGCTTTACATGTATCTACCCTGATATTTGCCGCGGGAAGTGCTTTAAGAATAAAAAAAAATATGCAGTAAATATTTATCTTGGTTAAGAACTTAAAAAAATGGTGAGCTCAGCTAGATGGATATGTTTATGAAATTGTCAAATCTAATCTGATGCTTGCTTACCTTGCCCCAAGGATGAATGATTTTTTCCATAACCCAATGTGGGAGATGATTACATAATATTCTTTTCTTATCATACAAATCATGTCTGCACAACCACCTGAGTCTTGGCAGTGACATATTGTCTGATCAATTGTATTATAATCTTCATCAAAAGCTCTACGTTTTGGAAATCTACAAAATGAAAATGTATTTCTGTGAATAAGCCCTTTTAATGAAACTATGGAAATTTGAACCCACAGAAAGATAGGACTTTAATATAATATGTGATCCCCCTTTTCAAACTGATATCATATAATGTTTCTACAGGGAAGTTATTGAAGAAGATGATGATGGCACTATCCAATCAAGTGTGGATGACATCATACACAAGGCCAAGAGGCGGCGTCTCATGGAAAAACTTGGCAATATTAGACTTGGAATGGTATGTCTGGGGCACGGAAATCTCTCATAACACATGTACACCTAGGCTGAAAATAATGCTCTAAAACATGAAATCAGGTTATTTGTCTGTACTAATTTTGACTCTTTCAACACAAAGTAGGCTTCTTTAACAGTTTCAATGATTCAACATAATATTAAAGATTCCTGATTGGCCATATCACTTTATATGTGTATTTTCCCCTTGAGAAAGAAATCCCCAAAGTCATAGAAAATTTCTCTGAGCTGAAAAAAATACCACTTTTCTTTAAATTAATGCCCGAACCCAATTTATCTGAACATTTTCTTTCCACTTTTGAAAATTTTCCCTCTGAATACATCAAAACGCTTTGAAAACAAACAGAAACACTCAAATGGTAAAAATTGAGTAATATTACAGGTGTAAAGCGTCATAGGAAAGAATAATCTAAATTGTAGTAAAAGATTGAATTTCATGAGGTAAAGGTCCATATAACTTCTAAAATGTGAAAAATTCCCTTGTGGTTAATTACAGGACAAGCCCAAATAAATTTGTCTACCAATTGTTCCTAGTTTTCATGTATAAATGAAATGTGACATGTTTTGTTTACTTTCTAGATGCGACATTTGTTCTTAGTCATAGATCTTTCAGATGCAATGAAAGATCAGGACCTGAAACCTACGCGCCTGGCGTCAACACTAAAGGTAAAAAGGATATAAAAATTATATATGTGTATATGTAATAGAAAAGAAAATACAGATTTTGGGCAGAACCTTAGTACTGTTTTATATATATGGATGTCATAGTGTACAATTTTGTATTTAGAGAACTAGCCAGTAGAAAAGTTTTCAAAAAAAATCTACTAGTGTGACCTATGTTTTCAAGAGTTAAATGAACATTTTCACTAGTCCTTACCTAAGTCTGCTTACCTTAAGCATTAATTAAGCTAGTAGAATTGCACACCTCTGATTATATATTTAATATTGGTACTACATTTGTATATTATTATACTGCTTAAGAGTAACTACTTAGAATTAATACACTGTATACAACTATTTAAAGTATTACACCATTGTCTACATTACAGATTGATGATGATTGAGTTAATCCTGTGTTACTGTCCTCTGTGTGATAATGTCTGACCTGTAAACGAGTTTACACTGTTATTTGGAATTGTTTATTATAGCTAGTAACGTTTGGTATTGTTACAGCTGCTGGAACATTTTGTGGAGGAGTACTTCGACCAGAACCCTATTAGCCAACTGGGTATCATAACAACTCGTAACAAGAGGGCAGAAAAGGTAGCAGAGCTGGGAGGTCAGTGTACTTATAAACTTAAAAACCAAGAGGGCATTAATATTAAATTTTACATGTACTGTATGAAATATTGATATAAGGAATATTGAATCATGAAATGTTATAACAAATATGAAATTTATACATTGTTTTGTTTCTAAAGTGAACCAAAGACATCAGTTTTATTAATGTGTATTTCTGATTTCATTTGGTAACATTTGAATTGTACTTGTATTTTTTAAAGGAAACCCTCGTCGTCACATCACCACACTTCAGTCTCTTGTCAATAAAACCTGCCAGGGAGAACCATCACTTCAGAATTCTCTTGACCTAGCCAACCAGACACTCAGGTTTGTTTGTGTTTTTTAGCCAACCAGACACTCAGGTTTGTGGTTCTAGCCAACCAGACACTTAGGTTTGTGGTTCTAGCCGACCAGACCCTCAGGTTTGTTTGTGTTTTTTAGCCAACCAGCCACTAAGGTTTGTGTTTCTGGACAACCAGACGCTTATGTTTGTGTTTCTAGCCAACCAGACGCTCAGGTTTGTTTGTGTTTTTTAGCCAACCAGACTCTCAGGATTGTGGTTTTAGCCAACCAGACGCTCAGGTTTGTGGTTTTAGCCAACCAGACACTCAGGTTTGTGATTCTGGACAACCAGACACTCAGGTTTGTGATTCTGGACAACCATACACTTATGTTTGTGGTTCTAGCCAACCAGACACTCAGGTTTGTGTTTCTGGACAACCACACACTCAGGTTTGTGTTTCTGGACAACCAGACACTCAGGTTTGTGGTTTTAGCCAACCAGACACTCAGGTTTGTGGTTCTAGCCAACCAGACACTCAAGTTTGTGATTCTGGCCAAACAGACACGCAGGTTTGTGATTCTGGACAACCAGACACTTATGTTTGTGGTTCTAGCCAACCAGACACTCAGGTTTGTGGTTCTAGCCAAACAGACACGCAGGTTTGAAATGTTAGCCAACCAGACTCTCAGGTTTGTGATTCTGGACAACCAGACACTTATGTTTGTGGTTCTAGCCAACCAGACACTCAGGTTTGTTTTCTTAGCCAACCAGACACTCAGGTTTGTGGTTCTAGCCAACCAGACACTTATGTTTGTGGTTCTAGCCAACCAGACATTCAGGTTTGTGATTCTGGAAAACCAGACACTTATGTTTGTGGTTCTAGCCAACCAGACACTCAGGGTTTGTGATTCTGGCCAAACAGACACGCAGGTTTGAAATGTTAGCCAACCAGACTCTCAGGTTTGCATTTCTAAGCAATCAGACACCAAATTTTGTGATTTTAGCCAAACACATCCCCAGGCTTGTGATTCTAGCCAACATGACTTTCAGGTTTCTGGTTTTAGCCAACCAGACACAGGTTTGTGGTTTTAGCCAACTAGACACAGGTTTGTGGTTTTAGCCAACCAGACTCTCAGGTTTGTGGTTTTAGCCAACCAGACACTCAGGTTTGTGGTTTTAGCCAACCAGACTATTAGGTTTGTGGTTTTAGCCAACCAGACTATCAGGTTTGTGGTTTTAGCAAACCAGACACTCAGGTTTGTGGTTTTAGCCAACCAGACACTCAGGTTTGTGGTTTTAGCCAACCAGACTATCAGGTTTGTGGTTTTAGCCAACCAGACTCTCAGGTTTGAAATGTTAGCCAAACAGACACTCAGGTTTGAAATGTTAGCCAAGGAGACACTTAGGTTTGCATTTCTAAGCAATCAGACACCAAATTTTGTGATTTTAGCCAAACACACCAGGTTTGTGATTCTAGCCAAAAAGACACTCATGTTTGAGATTTAATCCAATCATGCACCCAGCCCTAGGTTTGTGATTTTAGCCATTCACACATCCGGCTTTGTGGTTCTAGCCAATCAGGCACACACGTTTCTGATACTAGCTAAACACACACTCAGGCTAGTAATTCTCGCCAAAAAGACGGTCAGGTTTATGATTTTAGCCAACCAAATACTATATATAGTTTGCAATTTTAGCCAACCAGACACTCAGGTTTGTGATTCTGGCCAATCAGAGTCTAAGGTTTGTGATTTTAGTCAAACAGACACCCATGTTTGAGATTTTAGCCAACCAGACTCTCAGGTTTGCAATTTTAACCAATCAGACACCCAATTTTGTGATTCTAGCCGAACACACACCCAGGTTGTGAATCTAGCCAATCAGACACACATGTTTGCTATACTAGCCAAACACACACCAAGGCGTGTGATTCTTGCCAATCTGTTACTCAAGTTTGTGATTTTAGCCATTCAGACACCCAGGTTTGGGACTGTAGCCAAACAGACACTCAAGTTTGTGATTTTAGCCATTCAGACACTCATGTTTGATATCCTAGCCAATTAGACTCTCAGGCCTGTTATTCATGCCAATGTATGATCCTCACCAATATAGCCTATGTATTATTTGCATACTAATTAAAAAACACATACATTTATCATACTTAAAAGTCAATCTAACACACAGCCTTATGGTTTACTTTTTCAATCAAACGTTTGGTTTTATAGCTAATCAAAATCAAAAACTCAGACTTTAACCACTAACATTTTGTTTCTTACCAGTCAAACTTTAGCCAATAAATTATGCTTGGTTTGTAAATCTATCAAATTAAACACACATGTTTGTCTGGGCATATCTTCTACATTATTTCACCTGGAGTAACAAGATTTGGTATGCAAATACATCTTGGGATGTGCAAAGTGTCAAGCATAAAAATAGGTCATTGTGACCTAAGGCTTGACCTTTGACCATAGAGAAAGTTTGTGTCAGAAAATATTCTACACTATTTCACCTGCAGTAACAAGATTTGGTATGCAAATACATTTTGGAATTTGCAAAGTGTCAAGCACAAAAAGAAGGTCATTGTGACCTATGGTTTTATCATTGACCTCAACATCAGAAAAAGTTTGTGTGAGCAAATCTTCTACACTATTTCACATGGAGTAACACGATTTTGTATGCATGTGTGTCTTGTCTGGCAGATGCAAAGTACAAGAAGAGTGTATGTCAATATATCCAAAAACCTGAGATAGGACTATAGCTCAGTACGTAAAGAAATATTTTCTGATGAGGGGATTATGGATTGCCTTGTTTGTTCAAGTCATCTCAAACACAAATGTTAAAAGTTCTGTTTTATCAGACATTGTCTTATGGTTTTAGGCAAACAGTTTGTGATTTTAACTTTTAAAATTCTTTTATGACTTCAATACCAATGTTGGTTAGAATATAATAGTTTTACTTTTGATATTTGTAATCTTTTCTTTTTCTTCTAGACACATGCCAAGTCATGCAAGTCGTGAAGTGTTAGTTGTCCTAGGGAGTCTCACATCCTGTGATCCGGGAGATATATCGGAGACGATACAGGTAATTTCAACTTTCTTGTCGCACAGGAGTTTCCGCAGACATCACAATAAATATAAAACAAATTAAAATTGGACACAGTCTGACAAAGATGGACTTTGTGTCAAAGTATGACAATGATAGACTTTTGTGTGAATTGAAAGGACCTTTGCATGTATATATTAACCTAACAGAAAGCTTTGCTTTTATCATTAAGTGAAGACTAGGTCACTTTGATACAGAACAAACAATTTTACATGAGGTGATATTTACAAATTTTCACCTTCCGTAAATGAGGGCATGCCAACATTCATCATGATGGCAAATATAGGTACAGGACATACTAAAATTGTATGTGAAATAAAGTTTAGTGTGGATTTTAAAGGCAAAAATCAATATTTGATTGAGTTTAAATCACACAGTTTATAGTATCCAAATAACGAAGATAATGCAGGTTATGAACCAAGGTTTGGTTATGAAGATGTCAAGGTTATAATACCAAGGTTTGGGTATGAAGATGTCAAGGTTATGAAACCAAGGTTTAGGTATGAAGATGCCAAGGTTATGATACCAAGGTTTGGGTATGAAGATGCCAAGGTTGATGATACCAAGGTTTAGGTATGAAGATGCCAAGGTTATGAAACCAAGGTTTAGGTATGAAGATGCCAAGGTTATGATACCAAGGTTTAGGTATGAAGATGCCAAGGTTATGATACCAAGGTTTAGGTATGAAGATGCCAAGGTTATTAAACCAAGGTTTAGGTATGAAGATACCAAGGTTTAGGTATGAAGATGCCAAGGTTTTTTAAGGTTAACATATGACTAAAAATATTACATGTACTAGACTTAAAGTATAACTAGACAAGGCAGTGAATGATGTTTACTACTTGTGTAGGTGAACAGTCATTGGACTTGTCTAGATCCTTATCATTAGTGTAATAAGTTGAATAGGTTTGTAGAGTCATTGTGTACATTTGTGAAGCCACTGTTCTAACTCTTTACAGTTGCTGAAAGACAACAATGTAAGATGCTCAATCATAGGTCTGGCTGCCGAGGTCCGTGTTTGTAAGAGAATATGTCAGGAAACAAACGGTAAAGTTACTCGGAACTTAATCAGACTTTTTCAGCAATTTCCTCACAATCAGGCAGAGCATTTGTAGTGCTTTATGGATCATCTATTTTGACCTCAGTATCTTTTTAGCTCACCTGCCTGAAGGGCATGTGAGCTTATGCCATGGCACAGCATCCGTCTGTCAACTTTTCCTTTAAAACGCTACTAGTCCTGAACAGCCTAGTGGATTTCAACTGAATTTAGTCTGCATCCTTCAGCCAAGGACACTCAATTTTGTATAAACGGTGGGTGTGACCCCCGTGGGTGCAGAGGGGTGGGTCTGGATAGGAGAAATAGAGGTAAACCTTTAAAAACCTTCTTCTACCATAGGGATTAAGGGATTTCATCCCAATTTAGTCTGGAGCATTCTTAGGCCAAGGGAACTCAATTTTGTATAAACGGTGGGTGGGCCCCTGCCCCCTGGGGGCAGAGGAGCTGGGCCCAATAGCGGAAATAAAGGTAAAACTTTTAAAATCATTCTTCTACCATAGGGATTAAGGGATTTTATCCTTATTTAGTCTGGAGGATCCTTGGTCTAAGGGGGCTTAATTTTGTATAAATAGTGGGTGAGGTCCCCAGGGCAAGAGGGGTAGGGCCCAATAGGGAAAATAGAGGTAAAACCTTTGAAATCCTTCTTCGACCATAGGGATTACGGAATTTTGTCCTAATTTTGTCTCCATCAAGTTGTCTAGTAGTGCATGTTACTATTAGGGTGTATTCATTAAAACAAGATGCCCGACAGGCAGTGTTTCATACCCAATTGTCCAATTTTATTTTAACTTATTTTGTTGTCATCAGTTGGCCAAGCATGGCATAGTTATTATAAAGAGGTTTTGTGATGTATAGAGGGAGACATGATGAAATTGTTAAGAAGAAAAAAAGAGGGTTTTGAAAAATGGAAGGTGGCAAATAAAAAACATACTTTCTATGGATGCTGAAGTGTACAGTGTATAAGCTTTACTAAGCTGTGTCTGTGATAGTACAATAAAATATATGAAACAACTGATTTCTTCTAGGTAAATACTTTGTGATACTGGATGAAGGTCACTACAAAGATCTCCTTATCTCCCATGTAACACCGCCTCCAGCAACGGTGAGTACACTGCCACACAGAATTAGGAGTAGTTACAGACACCAATCCTGATTCATTCTCTTCTCGGAATGAGTCGCCTCAATTGGTTTTTATACCAGATGCTACTTTCAAAGTGATCACATACAGTAGATTGTCTTGTTAATCTTCCACAAACACAGACTAATTCTTTTGTGTCCAGTTACTTTTGGTTAACAACATTTTCCTTTCTATATTGTTGCAGAGCACCACAGAATCTTCCCTGATTAAAATGGGTATGTATTGGTGTGCTGGCTCAATCACACAACTGTATAGAAGTTAATATATTTTGATACCTAATAAAATGTATAATATTGCTTGGCCCAGCAGCTACCTGTCTATAAGTTCATACGAAGACGAACAGCAACACTTCAAAAATGATTTTGAAATGATAAAATTGTTTTTCAAGGATTTCGATTAAAAAACAAAAGTAGAAATAGTTTCTATTACCATTTCAGCAGTGCTTTTATGTGCTTATCAATGAACTGTTGATAATTGAGAGAGTTCTTGATTCAATTTCATGGTTATTTTGTGTCTTATTGATCTGTATGGTATAATTACAGGATTTCCTCACCACAGTTTGAGTGGAGACAAGAACAAAGGCGAGAAGGCTTCTATGTGTATGTGGTATGTACGAAACCTGTTTTTCATGCTGTTGACAATAGTTATGTAGAGAAGTAAAAAGGCCAAACAAAAAATAAGTGTTTCCTTTAACATGTTTGAAATATTTTGGTTTGATAGTTTGATAAAAAATTGATTTTTGTTTTTGAAAAAACAAGATTTTGATATGGTTTATATAGGACAGTGATCTTGAATTCAACAGTGTTTCTTTGAAAATGGACTGAAAAAGTTAAGGGAAGACACTAAAACTTAGGGTAGGTAGGATACTGAAACACAAGCTGTTTTTTGGTTTGCCTTAATAGTTTAATAGTACAACTTTATTTGTTACTGGTCCAATGAAATTTTGTACCAATACATTTATTTTTCACAATTTTGGTCAGAGTATTTCTCATTCAGAACAGCATGTTCAATCGGGAAAGGACTTTGCTTGTGTTGTAATCTTAATGCAAAAGAACATTCCTTAAAACATAATGTATATATATATATATCTTGTAACGTATTCATTACGTCCGTCTCCATCATGATTATGTTATAAATATTTTATGTGTTGTTAACATTATGTTATTAACGGTGTGCGTGTTACTAACAGGATAATTTGTTAACATTTATATGTATTATAGTTATTAAAGTGTAATATATATCAAAATTTATTAAGATATTATGTACAATAATATAAAAAAATGTACAATAAATCTCCAGCACACACACATGCATACACACATAGGGAGATATTAGCCAGGTGGCATAGGACAAGTAGTTAGCACCTGATAAGGCAGCTCCTGCGAATTCCTCAATATTGTATTGATTAATATACATGCTAATTGTATTGACTGTATAAAATTGTATATCTATGTACTGTAAAGCGCTTTAGAGTGGCTTATGTTAGCTAGATAGGGCACTATATCAAATGTTGTATATTATGTGTACTGTTAACAGTAATCATGATATTAACAGTATTCATTGATTAACTATAATCATGATATAAACAGTATTTGTGTTATTAACACTATGCATGTTATTAACAGTATTTGTGTTATTAACACTATTTGTTTTATCTGCAATATGCATGCCATTAGCAGTATAATCATGGAGTGGTGTTTGTTTCAGTCACCTGGACAGCAAGGTGAACCAAGGCTTTAGCAGCAGTGGTTATTTCTGTCCCCAGTGTAAGAGTAAATATTGTGAGCTGCCCATTGAATGTAAATCCTGTGGTAAGTAGTATAAGTTTATTATTTAGTGCCCTTGTAGAAAGTGTAATGATGAGGTGCAACTTGACACATGAAAGTAATTTAAATCACATTTTGCAACACGCTAGTTGAACATTTTTTAGTGTGTTCTATCTCTTTATATATTTCACATCATTTGGCAATTAGCTCACCTGGTACTTTGCCCCTTAAAAGTAATTCTTTCCTATGGAAACTTTTAAGTTAAGGAATTCCCTTGAATTAAGGAACATTTATGAAACTTTAGGCCTGACTAAATTTGGTATGAAGCATCCCTGGGTTAAAAGGATTAATTTTTGCATAAAACAAAGGTATAAGTGGGGTAGAGTGAAATAGGAGCATTTTTTAAGGGTCCAACACACACATTTGTGAAAAGTTTTATTGATAAAATATCTTGTCTAGTAATGATAAACTAGATTTTCGTAGTACACACGACTTTGAATTTGTTTTAAAGGTTTGACGTTAGTATCAGCACCACACTTGGCACGGTCATACCACCACCTGTTTCCACTGGAGACTTTTATGGAGACTCCAGTGTCTAGTATACCCACAGACTCAGCAGTGTATGTACTTTTATAACAGTAGTTTTACATCTAATAATTATGATGTTAATGCTATTGGTTTTCATAATAACAATGTGAAAAAAGTTTTCCACAAAATAAAATGATGCAAAAGTGTTTCTAAAGCACATATACTTTTCTCCCACTTTTTAAAACAAGGTCAAATAAGTTTTTAACTTCAGGGGAATTAACTGATGAATATATGTTTCAATCCACCGTATACAACAAGTTCCAACTTTGCAATGACTATTTCCTCTTGAAATTAACACCAAGTTTCACTGTAGACTGAGTTGCACAGCATTACCTGTACTGGGGTAACTGTTGTACAGCATTACCTGTACTAGGGTAACTGACTTGGAGCCGAAAGGTTATTGAACGTTTTACTTTTTGTTTCCAGATGCTGCTTTTCATGCCAAATTGCTGTGGAAGACCCAAATGTAAGTACACATCTCCATTGACTGAATCAAGACTGATTATCAACGGCATGCTACTTGTATCGGTGTTCCTGGCTGGGCCCCACAGGTTACTTTTGTACCTGTATGTTATTTTTGGGGTACATGTTTGTTGTTTTATATTAAGTGTGTATTGTTATATTAACTGTATATTAACTAGGTGTATTTTAAGTTTGTATATATGGTTAACTATGTACTAATGCCTGCGAACTTATGGTACGGTGCAGCATCTTCTGTTCATATTTTCATTCGCTAGCTTTATTCTTGGAAGATATTCTTCTTTAAAACTGAAACCCGGGGACCAGTAGGTGCCCGAGACGGAGTGCTATAAAGTTTCCTCATACAAATGACCTTGACCTAGTTTTAAGGTTACAGAGGTTTAATATGTTAAAAAGTGCAAGCAAAATTTTCTAAATAACCAGAAGGTCTAGATCGACAGCAATAATAGCAGGACACGATATGTAGACCAGCAGTTCAAAACGTTGGCTAGTATATTGTGTATCAATGGTCATCTTTGAGCACTACCTTGGGTCAGAGTTGACATGGGCTTTAAAAGGTAAAAAGTTTACTGACTTTGATAAAAGTCCATGATTCTAATATTTGGCCAGGAGGTACATGTACATGGGCGATATCAGCCTGTCTGGATTGTGATCAATTACCTGTATGTGACCTGTTTTACCTGTTTGTTACCTGTATTACAGGTGTACCAGTGTGGGAGGTATCAGCAGCTGAACTGTCTAGACTGACCTCTATTACCTGTATGTGACCTATGTTTTACCTGTATGTTACCTGTATTACAGGTGTACCATTATGGGCGATATCAGCCTGTCTGGATTGTGATCTATTACCTGTATGTGACCTGTTTTACCTGTTTGTTACCTATATTACAGGTGTACCAGTGTGGGAGGTGTCAGCAGCTGTACTGTCTAGACTGTGATCTGTTTATCCACGAGACACTACATTCCTGCCCAGGCTGTGCCTGTTCTAGGGAAACACAAGAATCCTCACAACAGTTTGTCGGATTAACCTGATACAATGTACCTTTAATTTGTTACATTTTTTTTATATTTTTGTATACTGTTAAAGAACAAAATAAAACCTGATATCAGTCTTTTTTCTTTTTCTTTTTCTTTTTCTTCTATTGACTGCAATACTTAATGATAATAAACGTTATGATAAATAGAAAATCATCCTGAAAATAGTGAATAATATGCAAAACTTAAAAACTGCTGTTGGTATTTATTTACTTTTACCTAGAAAATTTGTCTGTATATATATACATTATTTATCATCTTGTGTCTGTCCCACTAGAAGAAAAGTACTTGAGGTGAAAATTTCACTTGAACTACCATACTTGGGTGGTAGGTCAAACTAGAACTACCATACTTGTAGATTCAACTTCCCTTATATAATATAGTAAATTAACCTACTAATTACAATGTTGAATTTTTCAAAGAATTTTATATAATTAGTTAAATGAAATTTAAGATTATCTTTTAAACAAAAAATTCTGCAACCGATCCAGGTACAAAAGAGATGAATATCAGGTGATATAATTGGTCAGGTATATCCATAATACATTAATACAGGAGGTAGAGCATTTGTGTTTGTTTCTCTCATCAGGAGTGATCACAGCACATGGTCATTGTATATTCAACATATCTAGGCTTGTACAGGTTATACACATGTTTGTATGCTTCTACATATTCAACACAGGTCCATAGGTCTGTACACGTTCAAAACATGTATGTATGCTTCTACATATTCAACACAGGTCCATAGGCCTGTACACATTCAACACATGTCTGTAGGCTCGTACATTTTCATCTCAGGTCTGTAGGCTGGAGGCATTGGTAATAGGTCAGTGCTCCTTCAACACAGGTCCGTAGGCTTGTACAGGTTAAACACAGTTATGTAGGCTTGTACAGGTTAAACACAGGTCCATTGGCTAAGTCATTACACAGGTCCATTGGCTAAGTCACCATGAACATGATCAACATAGGTTCACTACAAGCCCAGTATGCTTATTATAACACCAAGAATGAGACCAGAGCAAGCCCTGTGAGGAGGAGAGATATGTACACCAGGCTGCCTCTTCCCACCGCACCGTTACAGCGTGGGGTACTGCATCTAATAAGGAACAAAAGTAGTCAGGATAGACACAGAACATACCAAATATATGTATAATTACACATTTTTTGAATATCTTTTCAAAACTCAAAGGAAAATATTGAAAGTACCTAACTTCTATTTGAATTTTGGTATACATCAAAATCATGATATGAAGTTGTCTCCCTTAAAAGAATTTTGATTCGACAATTTTTCCAAAAGTGATTGCCCTTTATTCATTTCAGTATTTGATTTTTGTCCAGCAATATCCTCCTACATTTTTCAATGGATCTCATTGAAACATCCCAACAAAAAATGTGATGGCCTTAATAAAAGGCTAAAATTACCCAGGACGGTAATGTTTTTGTTATAGCACCCTTGAAAATAATGATAATATCAATCTTGTAGAAAACAATGCTGGTTTTATGTAGAAAAGATAAAAAAGGTTTTTGTCTTTTTATATATTATGAAATGTATACTGACCTACAAATAGTTTTCATGCCTTTCATTGGTATATATTGGGAGACGCAGCCTGACCCACCTGGGCCCGTCACAGGGAGTGGAGATTGGTTTTCAAAACACCCTCGCTCAACTTCAAAGTTTAAACAGAAATATGTGATAAGAGTGAAAATAAATATAAAACATTAAGCAAGGATATAGACATCTGCAGCGGTTACTAAAAAAAGTGATTAAACACATTCATATTGGTGATATACAACATATTTCTTTATATCATGTATTCAAATTGGTGGCATCACATACATTGTTAAAAAGGTGTTATTGTAATACAAAACCATTAAAGTTAGTGATCAGATTCTTGGGATATATCTGACATTTGAATGTATTTAAAATGAGCTTGAAAATTTACCCTGATTTTGACCAAATTCTATGCTTCAATGCAGTTTGAGAGTGGTAGCAAGAAGTGGAAACAAATGAATCAGAAAAGGGGTGTTGTACCTGTTCCTGCCAACATAATCTTGACACACACTGTAGGACAATCTGTGGGGGAGTCATGGTTACGGAATGGGTCATCACAATCTGTGTCCACAACTGTATTACATTTATAACATTGTAGAACACTGGCTGAAAACACAACACGCACAGTAAAATGAAAATTTCAGGTGTTTTTTATCTAGTTATTTCTCATATATTCATGTTAATTCTATGTTTCAGGGCAAATCTGAAAATACATAGTTAATATATTTCTAATTTAGAAGAAGAAATTGTTTACAGACTGAACCATGCATCAACATGTCAAAATGTGTACACATACATGTACATAAGTTAAATCATAGGTCATGTTAGAAAATCATCTTTCTTTTAAAACAATTTTTAACATATATATATATGTGCTTCATTTTTTTCTTTCAACGTCTGGCCAATGGGGTAATGCTTCACTGCTTTGGAATGCTATTTTGTTCACAAACAAGGGGAAAATGTTCAACAGAGTTGGAGGAACTATAATCCGTCATCAACCTTCCAGCCACAAATTACCAATATGATTAGATGTAGCAGACAATGCTTATAGAATCTGGACGGGGTTGAATAGATATTTTTTTCTACATCATTACTGATCAGGCTATACTTTATACGTCAAGGGAGATCACTCTGACGTCCATCATAGCTCAAGCCAAACAGTTATATTTTGGTAACGAATCTGACGTAAGTCGTTAGATCATATGATAGAACTGGATTTTTTCAGTCCTTGAATTGGTAAATTTATAAAATTCTGATATAAGAACACACATGTTTGTATAAAGTACTGGTAAATTGATATTTCAAAGCTTAGAATGATCAAGCGTGTGACGTCATTTCGAGTTTTGCCACCGCGAAAATTAAATGCATATATGTTCATGATTCTACATATAAAGCCTAAACTCAGTGACTTAATTTGTTTCTTGATATTGAATTATATGCTAAGCTAACATTTTTTTAATAAAACACCGGACCCCACAGAACGTAACGTCAAGAATGACGGACACCTGTCGAGTTTTGTTATGGTCGGCCTACTGTCAAGAAGATCTAGCCTAACTAGTATTAAAGTCCATGTAATTATTGTAAATGCAAAATCCTAACAATCTTACCAACTGTCGGAGCAAGAATGACCAGGATAACACTTATTGTGGCAAAGCATGACCATAGCACATGCATGCTTCCATCTTTGTCTTAAAAAATGAAAATATGAACTCGTTCTATGTCGAATTGCATTACGTCATTATTTGTTGTGTAGAACGTCACACTTGATTTGTAACTTCCCCAGCCAAAAGTGGTAATGTGGTTTGGCGATATTTTTTTTCATTCTTTTATTTTTTTAAATGGAATTTTGATATTGAATCAACTATAAATAGACTTGTTAATCATTTAGAGCAGAGACGTATAAAGCCATACGTCTCTGTTTAGAGCAATACAACTCTTATAGCATATTTTAGTTGCCATGTTCAACTAGGCCTACATCTTTAGTATAATACGAGGAAGATAATTGCCTAATGTGGGGGTGGTGGTGGAGGGGGAGGGAGGG